GCTTTATGGTAAAATCTTAATGTTTTAAAACCATAAAGCTACAGTTCTGTGGCTTTAATTAATTATATCTCTAATGCTATCGCATATTTTAGATCAAAACCAATTATCTATCAAAAAATCATATAAGATGAATTTTTAGCACGGATTATACTCCTCATCTAAGTATAGCAATTTTTTTTTATTCAAAATCAGCACATATGCCCATGATCGGCCGTATTTCCGAGAAATCAGCGATTTCTGTTTTTTTATTTTTATTTTTTATTTTTTGTCTCTATATTTAAATTATATAGATTATGCTTTAAATTTTATTAAAAAGCAATTCCATTTCACAAAATGAAGAAATGAAAATAATAAGAAAACATATGGGTCCCTGCAAACTCTATCAGTTTTTCCGAGTGTTTACAAGGCGGGTACATGTACACGAAAGTGTTTGACGCATGTGTCTTCAAAGCATGCAAAATTCAGATTATTATGTAGCACAGGTAGCTGACCTGTCAATCAAATCAGGGGTTTCAAATTCAGGTTTCACACCTTTGAAAATATATATTGGTCATAGGGATATTCTCACACCTATCGGAGTTTCAGCCCAAACGATGATATACACATAAATTCAAGAATTCACCGACTGATCATGACACGAGTCATTTCCTGTTTATTATACATTTGTGTATACATGCAGCATACTGTCATGCAAAATTGTACATTTTGTGGTGGCTGATATGAAAATATCAGAAGTGTAAAATAATGGTGAACATTTAATAAAAACGGTTTTTACTGCATAACATGTTGAGCATAAACATAAGCATAAGGTTACTTTTTTTAGTTGTACGAAATTTTGAGCTAATTATTCATTTAAAATCAAGTGAAAACTGGCGTTGACATTCGACTGTTTTTTAAGTACCCATTGCAGATTACTGTAATTCATGATAGCTCAAGTATAGTGACCCACCCCCACCCAAAAATATGTAAGTAAGTAAATTGTTAATTATAGTGACATGTGTTATACAGTACAATGAAAAACATGTAAAACGTGCAATTAATATCCACACACCCGGCCCATCGGACCTATCTGTCACTTTTAACAAAATATATGAAATATATACACAGATATTAAGCATGGCGTTTTTATACAACAGAGATTGCCTGTGCATGTATGAATTGTATAAATATTTTGACGAAATTTGTGAAAAGAAAGGTTACAGCGTTAGTGCTTCCAACCGTGTAATCGGTGTAAATCTGTGAACCCAAATAGTAGTAACGAAGTGCGCGATTCTGTACCATCTCAATGCAGTGATAGTTTCGAAGACCCCATATTTCACTACAATAGTCCCAAACTGCCGGTGCTATACAATTCAGAAAAAGTTTTTTCGAAAGTTGAAATCCCTATTTCTTTATATGGACGAATTTTGGAAACCATCCCTCCGAAAGCACGTCCACCTGCTTTTGACAAAGTATCGGCATTATTTTAGAAACTAGGCTTTTCATGGAATATAACACCAAGGTATTTGTAATCCGACCTGTATTGTAGAATGTTATCGTTGGAAATCACTGCGGGATCCTCATTTACGGAAATGCACTACTGCTGATTTTTAGCCGGGCTCATTGCTCGTAGAGCAATGCCCGGCTATTGCGACGGTGAGCAACAAGAAATGCTGCTTCTTCACCGCCAAATTGAGTTTACGTATAAAAATATAGTACGTACAGTGTACGCCCAAATTCCTTCAAATTGTTTATTTGATGTACAGGTTTTGTTATTTTGCGTTAGATGCATAACTGTAGCTCCCAGAAAAATATTTTGAAAGACCAGAGAGCTACAGTCAGACCACCCCCACCCCCCCTTTCCATCTGCATTCTACATGAGCCTTTCTCTTCGTCATTGAATATGAAATATTGAAATATTTTATACATACTTCAAAAAGTTAGTTAATTCTGAAGATGGTCCAAAAATGGTATAGTTAATTAAACTTCGCCAGAATCTTCGATCCTTGCATGTTACTTAACATTGTGGGTGGTCGGAGCCCGTAGCCGGGTTTGTTAAGGTACTGGTACACGAAGGAAAGCAAATATACGCAAAAATCTACAGATCTAGCGAACAGAAAGGACAGAGTTTTTTCTTCAAATTATTAGACGTATAAATATCTTTATTACAGAAAAATCTTTCTCTTTCCTTCTCTCTCTGTGTACAAAAATAAAGGGGTTGGGTGAGGTTCCAACCACCGACCCCCCTCTGGATCCGCCCGGCGATGATATGGGCCCCTGTTTTTACAAACTTGGCCCAGCTTAGATTTTTTTTATATTTTCACGCAATTTTTTTTTTTTAATAGGAGTGTGCAGTTTGTTTCCTTGAAAATGTGATTTACAACTTACGTATAGTAGTTCGCTATAACACCTCCTCCCATGAAAATATTTGGTTTTACTATTCAAAATAAAACAAGAAACACAGAAATAATTCCCTTTATGTCGCATTTTCAACTTTCTGAGCATTTGTAAGTTCATTTTTTTAAAGTAAATTCCAAAATCTATATTTTCAACTTCGGTAGGTCTTATTTTATAACAATATAAAACAGAAATCAAACAGAATGCAGTTTGTAAATGGTATGATACCTGTATAAATTAGAAAAAAAACCTGTACCCCCCCCCCCCCGAGTTCGATTACGGAGGCATGAAATATACTGTACACCGCGATATGATCCAAGTCAGTAAAACGCTTTATTAAAAAGAGAATGAAATCGAAAGTTAGAACAAGAACTGAAGTAGATCGAAGGGATAATTCATGCAAGTGTAAATCATTCTGTTTAAATTTCTTGATTTAACTTGTGTGAATTACTCCATTTACATCACCACCAACTTGACTAAGACCAAAAGTTAGCAGACGGAAGTGCCTTGAATATGTCAAACTGTAAGTGCGGTTAGCATGGTTCGTACCGTGCAAACAGATTAGCACAACTTGCACACGTTAGGCCACATTCTGTCACATAACAGTCTATCTGATAACATTTTGATTGAAAAAAAAGGGCTATCTTGTCAGTGTAAGAATTTTAAATAAGATTTGTTCAGATAATGGCACACTATTTATAGGGGAGTTCATAAAGAAATATGTATATTTGTAGCCATCTTTCAAAAATCTTCCCAAGAACCATTCATTGGCCCATAAAAGTTTAAACTTATGTGAAACATTTATTACATAGTGTAGATTCAAGTTTGTTCATATCATGACCCCGGGGATTAGGGTGGGCCACAATAGATCAAAGTTGTACATAGGAATACCCTGTATTTTTTTTTTTTTTTAAAATCTTTTTATCAATAACAAAGATTTGATCAGTCATTTTGATATGGAAGTATTATCATCCAGTACAGATTCAAGTTTGTCACAATAGAGAATCAAAGTCTTACACAGCAATATATATATATATAAAATGTAAAATCTTATTTTTGATAGAAGCAAAGCCATGGTTTAATCCTTTTGACATGGAAACATCCTCAGGTAGTGTAGGTGAATTTTTCTTGTTCAAATCAATGCAATCATGACCCTAAGGAGTAGGATGGGGCCACAGTAGGGAATCAGAATTTTACATATTAGGAAAACCTAGCAAACTGGGTCTTCAGATAACGTCAACTAAAAAGTAGGTCACAAAGACTTACATTTTGAACTTTGTGGCTATATTTAGATATTTCCATTTCTAATTTTTTTCTCTGTGATAACTCTTTGAAAGTTAGGGGAGTTTATTATTTTTATAATTCTGCCAGAATATAAATTAGGCAGCCAGGTCAATAGGTCAGGAGTTATGCATGCAAATCTTGTGCGCATCTGTCTCTGTGTCTGATGCTAAGGAGGCCAAATAATATGCATGTAAATCTCGGGCAGCTGTCTTTGTGTTTGACGTCAGTGGGTGAGGGCTACTGAAATTGGCATGGGAATCCTCGTGTAATTTAAATCCATTAGTCTACAGTTTCAAAGTCTAAGTCTACAATTTTATTTCACAATGAAATGGAAATACTGTATAAGGAATCACTGTCTAGTTAATAAGGTATGCAAGGGACATCAACGATAGTGGGAAACATGGCGTGTTTATGCATAATGGGCTTAGCCCGTTATGCAAATTATCCCATGTTTCCCACTTATCGTTGATGCCTTGGCATTCTACACTTACTAGACAGTGATCCCTTAAAGGTCTTGTGCAAGGAAATAGCATCAAAATGAACTTAGTCAATTGAAGTTCCATATATACAGAGACGATCTTTTTTTTCTTTTTTATTTTTGGCAATTTGTTTTAGGCCTACAGTATTAAAATTGGACTCATGTACTAGGAACATCATTTCTTTAGCAGAATTATCCCACTGAATTAAAAGGAACTCTTTTTTCAGGTGCGCATGATGCAACTTCCTTGATGATGTGTAGGCTGTTTGTCAACATGTGAATCCAACGTGCATTTCTGTGTAGGTATGTTTACTGCCGATTTTCTTTCTTAAAAGCCGCATAAGGCATATTTTTTGATCTCAAATTTTTGTTTAAGCATTAATCTTTATTTTCTCTTTCATGAATTTTCTGCTGAGAGTTGAATAAATTAAATAATTCAATTCAAGCTATATAGTAATATATAGTGAAATTATTTCCTTGTGTGAGATTGGAAGAGGGACAGGTCTCTCATTTTCACTAAAATTTCTCTGATTTCAGGAGTTGTCTCCCCTTGAAAAGATCAATAATGGCGGATAAACAATGCGGCATGCAGTCTGGTCACCAACGGACAGTTTTGACACTGTATACCTGTATTTCTACCAATTACCTCAGTAACCTTTGTTGTGATCACACAGGTAAGAAAAACAAGATTTTTAATTCAAATAATTTTAATGAGCTAAATAATTAAGAATATAACATTTTTACATGTACAGACTCTCGTATAAGAAAATGTCACATTTTACACATACAATAGTACATTATTTACATGTCCACATTTTCCCCATTTACACAGTTGAAAATAATCAATGCATAATGTACCATAAAACAATTATTACATGTAAGATAGTTTAAAAAATATATTTTAAGTACAAATTTTATACATTTGAAATGCATGTACATATCATCACCCCCCCCCCCCCCCCACACCCCTTCAAAGTCTTACAACTTCCTTTTTAATTTTGGATCTGTTAATGATTTACTGTAAGTGTCTTTAGATTTTTTATCGAACAGCTGATATCTTTTAGATCTGTAGTATTTTCATTGAAATTTATATTCTAAAAGTTTTTGTTTCATTTTAAATTAATTTTGTCTATTTTGTTGTTGTTTTTAAAATTAGATGATGGACCACTCTACTCTCTTTTACAACAGGTGCCCCTACAGATCAATTAAGTTCCAGTGTTGAGTTTACATGACCCCTATTCAGTGAGTGCACAATTTTATATATTCTACTTTCAAAATTTCTACTACTTGTATTTTGTATTTGATTTTAAATATGTCCTATTTACATTGCTTTTCAGTATACAACAGGAAAAGGAATAAAGTTGACAGGAATTTTCGCGCTGTCCCTGGTAGCCACTTATGATGGAACCAACAGCAGTAGACATATAGCATGCTACATCAAAAGTAAGTCTCCTGAGTAGTATTTGTAGTAATTTTTACTCTGTTCTGTATGCATTGAAGCTTGAAGACAGGTCAAGGGCAAGTTTTCTCTGCATTGATTCTATTATGGCCTTGGTTCTTCTTGAAAACATGTGACTGCTGAATGCAGTCAGTAAGCAGTCTGTTTTCTTTGAGAGTCAAAGAAGTGACGCAGTCCTTAACGTTTTCAATGAAATGTCCTTGTTTTTCAGATGCACCAGATGCAGCGGCTTTGTCTCCATCACTGGTGAAATGGGATATAAGTGGCTGGTCATCACTTTGTAACTCACCAACATAATTAGCGACCCATCTCTTCTCGTCTCCAATGGTGTCTTGCAGGAATGGTTGCAGTGCAGTCTTGTTCTTGGGCAGGTAACTTCTTTTCCTTTGCTTCGTAGGTGTGCGCCTTTCTTACATAGTTTATTCACACAGAAAACTGCTACCACATTCTTCCTTTGAGTTACGGTATACTGTGGTTTCATCAATTTTCGTGGGCATCAATTTTCGTGGATTTTATTAAACATTCGTTTTCGTGGATACGTAATTTCGTGGACAAAAGCATTGCTTATACAAATGAATAGCATATTTCTTAATTCAATGAACATTTGAATTCGTGGATCTGTTCAACAACGAAATCCTCAAAAATTGGTGCTCAACGAATATTGATGAAACCACAGTATGTCATTTGAGTGGCAGTCTGGAATGGGGTTTTCCCAATGGCACTGAAGGTGGCGTTATTTTACCGAACATCTCCTTCGGCTCTGATGGGGGTATCCGGAAGTCCACATTTTTCATTAAGTTCTTGAATATTTTGCCGAATTTTCTTCATACTGTTTTTATTTACATCGGTTATAATTTTCCCCACTTTGTTCCAGGTCTGTTGCATATTGGCAGCTGACGCTGGTTCAATATTTGCACCAAGAAGCATACCACGCATACCCTCTGTTGTAAGACTGGTACCCAGGTGACCGACAGCCATGGCCACATTCAGCTGTGCAGCTCTTGTCCCCTGCCAGATCTTCTCACCTCTTCATAAAGCTTTTCTCGGTGACTGGTATAGTGGCACTTCTTACATCAAATGGAAAGGATCCATGCAAGGCATAATTTTTCCTCCCCATGCTGATTCCAGTCCAGTGGACCATCACAGTCTGGAAACTTCTGTGAGTGTTCTTTAAATGCATTGTTCCACAATTTAGCAGTTTTTTCTTGGTGAAGTACTTTTGAATTTGGGTCATCTGACACAGATTCCATGTAGGTGTCCACTGGCTGGACTTCACTTGGCCCGGGTCGTAAAAACTTCATCTCGCTGCTTCGGCTCTTTCCATCTATAACTGCAAAAAACCCACCTTTCTGTGGCCGTACAATGTCCTAAAACTCTTCTTTACTTAGTCTTCTTATGGGAACTAGAGATTGGACTGGGCTGGTGGTCCCTATTTTCTTCTGGCCTTTGTTGTGAGGAATACTTCGTTTTTAGGTCACCTGAGTAACTCAGGTGACCTATTGCTATCCGTTTTCTTCCGTCGTCGTCCATCGTCCGTCGTGTGTCGTGTGTTAACATTTGAACATTTTCAGCTTCTTCTCTGAAACCACTGAACCAATTTCAACCAAATTTGGTAAACAGCATCTATGGGTGAAGGGGAACAAAAATTGTGAATTTCATGGTCCCAGCCCCCCTTGGGGCCTGAGGGGTGGGGCCAAAACCACTAAAATTAATGAAATCTTTAAACTCTCTTCTTTACTCCTAGACATCAAACTATTGGCATAAATGTAATGAGCATTCAATCCTCTACCTAAACTGTAAAATTCATGGCCCCAGGGTCAGGGGTTCTAGTGCTAGGGTGGGGCTCTATAGATTATATAGTGAAAATGCATTATTTCTTTGAAAATCTTCTTCTCTGCTCCTGGGTATTAGATAAACTAACTAAGCACATAGTTATGATGAGCAAGAGTGCCTCTGGGCTCTATATTTTATATAGTGAAAATGCATTATTTCTTTGAAAATGTTTTTCTGCTCCTGGGTATTAAATAAACTAACTAAGCACATAGTTATGATGAGCAAGAGTGCCTCTTCCAGATTTGTGAAATTAATGGCCACAGGGTCAGGGGTTCTAGTGCTAGGGCGGGGCTCTGTACATTATATATTGAAAATGCATTATTTCTTTGAAAATCTTCTTCTTGCTTACTGGGTATTAAATAAACTAACTAAGCACATAGTTATGATGAGCAAGAGTGCCTCTTCCAGATTTGTGAGTTTTATGGTCCCAGGGTCAGGAATTCTAGTGCTAGGGCGGGGCTCTATAGATTATATAGTGAAAATGCATTATATTTTTGAAAATCTTCTTCTCTGCTCCTGGGTATTAAATAAACTAACTAAGCACATAGTTATGATTGCAGAGAGTGCCTGCTTCCAGATTTGTGAATTTTATGGTCCAGGGTCAGGGGTTCTGGTGTTAGGACGGGGCTCTATTGATTATATAGTGAAAATGCATTATTTCTTTGAAAATCTTCTTCTCTGCTCCTTGGTATTAAATAAACTAACTAAGCACATAGTTATGATAAGCAAGAGTGCCTCTTCCAGATTTGTAAATTTTTTGCCCCAGGGTAAGGGTTCTGGTGTGGACTGATTATATAGGAAAATACCATTTATTTGAAAATCTACTTCTCTGCTCCTGGGTATTAAATAAACTAACTAAGCACATAGTTATGATATGCAAGAGTACCTCTTCCAGATTTGTGAAATTTATGGCCACAGGGTCAGGGGTTCTAGTGCTAGGGCGGGGCTCTATAGATTATTTAGTGAAAATGCATTTATTCTTTGAAAATCTTCTTCTCTGCTTCTGGGTATTAGATAAACTAACTAAGCACATAGTTATGATAAGCAAGAGTGCCTCTTCCAGATTTATGAATTTTATGGTCCCAGGGTCAGGGGTTCTGGTGTTAGGGCGGGGCTCTATTGATTATATAGTAAAAATACATTAATTCTTTGAAAATATTTTCCTTTGCTTCTGGGTTTTATGCCAATGTTCCAAGTATATATATATTTATGATGAAGAAAGGTGCATCTAGCAAAGTGGTTTTTTTTTATGCCCCCAGGGTCAAAGGGGGGGGGGGGTTACATAGTCTGAAAATAAATTAATGCTTTGATTACATTTGCAAAATTTTGAAATATGTGGCCCGGGCCATGGGTCAGTGGGTGAGGTGCACAACTTGTTATAAAGTGGAAGTGCATTTTCTCTTTGTTACTCTGATCTATCTCTGGGTATTAAGTAAATAGAGTAAGCATGCTAAGTTAATAATTATGATAAGCAATGGTGCCTCTTTCAAAATTGTAAATTGTGAATTTCATGGCCTCCGGTTTAAAACATGAACCAAATATAATTGTTTGAACGTTGTTGCACAATACTCAGGTGACCTATAAGGCCCGTGGGCCTCTTGTTTATATTGATGTTGATGCAACCATTTTGGTCCTTTTTGTGGCATGGTAATTATTGAACTGTATAATTGTAGACTTTTTCTAAGAATATGCTATTGTATGTGGTGCACATTTGTAATTATTGTAAACTTTTGTGTTGTTTATTCACTTTAGAGCTGCCTGGTCTTATAAGAGAAACTTCATTCTTTGATGACTGATGGAAAAGCCTCATCACCCCACAGTGGCCACATTGGTTAAGAACCCCTTATCTTAATCACCAGCCATTAATCAGTGATCACTGTTGTCAAGGCTCCAAGGTACATTATTGAAGTCTCTATTGACACCATTTTTTCCAGTCTCTGACTTTGTTTTAGAATTAAGATTTTCACTTTTTGGCTAATTAATTCCTTAAAAATCAGTTAACTTCCTGTTTCTTAGCTAATTAGAGCTCATTAATTAGAGTTGAAATTATGTTTTAGCAAATAGCCAAAAACTACAATATTTCAGCTTTCATTTCATTCAAATCTTTTTTCTCAATACTTCACTCATTAAATTTTTTCAAGTTTTGAAATTAATATGCTTAAAAATGAATTTGTACAGAAATTTTTCATCCCTTAAGGACAAAGATAAATTTTGATGCACTAGTATATGAAAGATAAATAACTCGGAGACATTTTGTGCACATTTCATTTAGTTTCATTAACTTTTAGTTGTCTTAAAGGTCTTACGCAAGGAAATAGCCAATCAAAATGAACTTAGTCAATTGAAGTTCCATATATATAGAAACAATTTTTTTTCTTTTTTAGCTCTTCTGAGCCAAAGGCTCAAAGAGCTAATGCTATGGCTATTTGTGCAGTGTGCGTAAACTTTTTAGAATATTGGCCATAACTCAAGAGCCCTTTGCCAATCAGTACCAAATTTGTCACAGGGTATCCTTGGCCCAAGGGCTACCATTTATACTAAAATAAGGGTTTGGACCCTTAAACAAGGGGAGATAATCAGGAAAACAAAACCAAAAGTACTGGTTGCTAAAAAATCTTCTTCTCGATAACCACCGGGCAGATTTTTAATAAACTTACATACAAGGATCAAGATATGTGGAAGATTAAAATTTGCACGGGGAATTACCCTGGAGCAAAGGGCGTGGTCTCAAGGTCACTTCAAAGTTGACCTAAATTTACAATTAATAAAAACGTATATATTTTGCCTACTATAAGGACTAGGATCATCAAATCGTGTAAGTTGATGCATCTTACGACTTCACATCATATGAACTTAAAAGTAGGTCACGGTGACCTAATTTTTAAATTTTGCAGGGATTTATT